CTACCCTATATCTAGTAAATGCTAGAGCATTCGCCAAAGTACAGGATAGTTCTAGAAAATAGGTGGCGCCACCCCAGTCACGTGACCTCGATGACGCAACAATATTATGTAAAAAACCACAGGGAAAATTTTATGCAATATACAGAAACAAACCTTATATAAATAACACTAACAAATTAAAATGGTAACATTCATTAAACTAATATTTTTTTTTAGTTTATTAACTGATTATAAGTATTATTTTATTACAAGTTAGAGCTTTTTTTTCTGCTCAGCAATAAATAAATAATCTGTTAATTGACGCGGATTGATATACATATTCATAAGTAACCACTATGAATTCTAAAACTTAAATATATTGTTAGATTGTTGAATGTTGATATAAAAACAAAAACATTCTTTACCGTTAAAAAAGAATGTGTGTATTTGAAAATGATCGCATCAATAATCGAAATGTCATACCTGCTTTAAAATATTCTTCCTTCTTGTAAAAGCTGTAACTTGTAGCAAAACATTTCATTAAAACTGTAGTCAGTTCTTAACAATAATCTCATATTGAGCTAGAGGGAAACCGTTATAAAACAAGACTTCATGTTTTAAAAATTCTTGATTTTAGCTAAAACCAAAATAACTCTCAGAGTTTTGTTTTGTATTTTACAATTTAACTTTATCTGACAACAACAACAAAAAAAAGGAGCAGAACAAGAGCAAGAGTGATTTCAAGCGGTTAAACTCAAGATGTAACAATAACAAATACAGCTGTAATATCATCAAGTACAGTTCTTTCTGCGTCTGTTTAATCATAGTGCCATGATTACTTAACATGACTTCATTAATAATACACAACCAGCAAAAAAAAAGAGTATTGAAAAAACATTATTCTCCATAATACGTATATATATATAACTAAACGATGAAATCAACCTGAAACATTAAATTCCCACAATATTTTTAAATTAACTATTTTAGGAAAGTATATTATTCAGTTGGGCATTCCAAAAAGTTCTCGTGACAAATGAACTGAATATCCACAAATTAAAACTTTAAATATAAAGCCCTTAGAATTATTTGTTAACAAATTATTAAAGTAATTATTACTAGTATTAACTTGCTAATAAAATGTTTTATTTGTATAAAACTTTTACAGTTTCAGCTTATGTTGTTTTGTCATGTAAGTAAAGTTCTCACGATTTTTTTAGTTAGTTCTACCATTGAGTACCAGAGGGCGACGTTGATCGTCAAAGGAGTAAAAAATTAAAAAGGTTTTCATAATTGTGTCGTTTAAACACGTATGTTGCTGGAGTTGGTTCCAACGTACAATATTTCAAAGTAATATTTTTTAAAGAGACATTTATACTATTATTTCGCACTATGGCTGTTGGTACTATAATGGTGTTTGCATCGAAGTTAATATTGGTATCTTTAGTTTTCAAGTCTTAACTCTTATTCTTAAGTCTGTTAAAACTTGAGCAGAAACAGTTACAACTTAAGTTACACTTACAATATATGAGGCTTAATCAGTATAACTATAAGTTAATTATTAACTAGAGACTATAGTATAGTAATTAAAATTAATATTGTACAGTTTTACTTTTTTAGTTTAACTTAAGTTAAAACTTAAATTGAAATCTAAACATTCTTTGTTAGCTAAGAGATGCCACTTTCATTTCAAATTAAAGTGAGAAGGTGCCATTTTAGTTTTCTACCCATCGTTCCACGCTATCCCCCTTTTTTATTGCAATATTTACCAATCCTAGTAGTATAATAATTAATACTATTTCTGTGGTTGACTTTGATAGTTCTCTATTGGAAAAGGCCTTAAAAGTTAACTGCTGGCATGTATGAGTTTTTCATATCTTAAAATGTTGTCCATAGTCTTACTTTTCATTTTTTCCAAACAGAATCTGTATTTATCGTGGAGTCCAAATCTATTACATTCTGTCTCCAATAAATCAACATTTTTCAACAAGGTGACCTTTACTGAGTAAAATACTCCATGTGAGGTTTGTCAAGCACCTTATAAGGGTGAATTGATTACCTTCAGCTAGTACTAAGCATTTCTGTGTATACAACCTAATATCCTATTTGCTTTATTAGCTGAAGTACTTTGTCTAGAAAACTTTTATAGAGACTTCATAAAAAACTGTTCTTAGATCTTTTTCCTCACCAACTTCACCTAGAGCTCCTTTTGTAAGGTTGTGAATAGTAAAGCTAATACATTTTAAGGTATAATTATAGACTTGTTGATTACAAGTCATGAGGTAATTATCTCTATACAAATTGCTAGTTAGGCCTCATTTGGGATACTGTATGATAATGATAAATCATAACTAAAAAAGTATATTGACATTGAAAAATGTTTAGAGTATGGCTACTCAAATGATTCTGGAGATGAAAGTATTATCTTATATGAGTAGTTTAAGATCCCTTAACTTTTTTTTTAAGAAAAGAAGGTTATAAAATAATGTTCAATTTTACAATACTATCTATGGGATCAATAGGATAGACTTATAATTTCTTTGTGCTAGATTCTGACTACAACATGAGATGACACAAACTTAAAATTTTCAAAATGCAGGCAAGGCTCTAGTTAAGAAAATTTTATTTTTATAAAAAGGTGATTGACTTACGAAATAAGTTGCCGGTGTAAATAATGGAGGCCAGCACTTTACAGATCTTTTAGATGGAAATTGATGATTATCTGGAAAATAAAGGGTGTGCTTAAATTTTTATTTAATGATGGGTGTGCAAGGAAAGCCTTTATGGGCCAAGTTGTCTTTTGACAGTCTTGTTGTCTGTGTATCAAAAGTAACATTTAAGTATCAGTAGTAGTTAGGCAACTAAATTGCCTAAGTCTCCTTGGCAAGCTTGGATTTTGTTATATAGGTTAAAATGTAAAATTCTATATTTTAGGGGTATTCATTCTGATTATTTGATATATTATTTAATGATCATTCAAATAGTTTGAACTAAGGCTTTGTACATTATATAAATTTATTGTTTTCAAAATAGGTAATTGATATAAATCACTTTGTGGCGGGGGGGGGGGGCAAATGCCTTACCTAAATGGAGTCCCTGCTGTATGTTGTCTTGCTTCATATTTCTATTAATCAGTATGCATGAACTTCATTTTATTAGGATGAAAGATAAGAATGGTGTCTACCTGGTATTAGATCAGCTCACTAAATCATAAAAGAACTTCAGTATCTTTAGTAACATTTGAAACACCCATTAATTTAATAATTTCAAATTTAACATGTTTACTGGTTTTTTGTTTAGCAGTACCATTAATAACACTTAAAAAAAGGAAAGGACCTAGTACAGAAGTATGAGGTACACAGCTTGTAACATCGATACATTATGACGCTATTCCATTTGTAACAATGTTTTTGCTTTTTATCACCTAATAAATTCTCACTCTATTTCACTAACTTGCATCCTTTCCCAACATATAAAATCTTCACAAGAAATCTATTTTTGACATCTTAAAAGCTTTTCGGAAGTTTAAGTACATCAAATCTACTGCATTAACTATGCTTAGTTTGTTATATTTTCAGAGAAAGCAATCTCTAGAGGCATGATTGTCCCTTTTTAAATCCATGCTGTCTACATGTAATAATAAGAAAGTTGTCTAACAGTAAGATATTTTTATTGCGATGCTATTTTCTTTTGATAACTTATTTATGACTAACCTGTTTCTAGGGGATGGGACAATAATAATTTTGATCAGAGTATTTAATTTATGAGTCCATAAGTTGTAGACTAGTAATTTCTCAACCACTGAAGTAAGACCAACTGACCATTAAGTGTTTGTTGATTGTTTATCTCCCATCTTAAAAATCAGTGTGGTATTGGCTAATCTCAAATCTTCTGGCACCTCCCCACTTTTAATGTAGTCATTACAAATTAAGATATTTTGGCCCATAAAACTGCCTTCAATTTTCAAATCTTGGACATTACGAGCTCTGGCTTAATACTAACTTCGTTCATGGATGTCAGATAATATTCCAAATGAGATCCACTTATGAAATATTCCTGATATCTTCCATAGTAAAGTCTTCTAAAAAACATCATTTAGATGTTCAATCATCTTTCCCGTCTTCCTTCTTTTAAAGGCCCAATTTCTATTCCAACATTATGTTCTCCAATAACATACTTGGTTTCAACTCTGTTTCTTTTTACAACATGAACATAAATGTACTTGCTTTGTTAAATATACTTGAATTATCATACCTATATTGAATATTCACTTTGGACAGCAGTTTATAGTGGGCAACAGTTATCTATTACATTGAGTTAAATTTAGATACAATGTTTCAATCTATGCAATTCTGTCAATAAAAGAAAACAATAAATTTGAAATATCAAAATAGAAAGAAAGTTAAGGCACATGTGAATGTGTATGCAAACAATAATGAAACTTAATGAGAAGGAAGTGAGGATATAGACATTAAAATAAGTAAAATGTTTCTTGTGTGCCTCTTTTAATTTCTTAATATCTTTATTAACCAGTTCTCTAGTTTACTTATGGGCCTTAAGATCTTTCATTCTAGCAGTTTTTAGGCTTAACCTTTAGACATAAAGTACCTTATATAACTAAGTAGCTGGAGAATCTGGTTCTTGGACAAGTGAAATAAAACTCATTTGTAACAAAGGATAGAAAATTGTGCTTCTAATTTTTCTTCACATAATAAAGATTAAAAGTGCAATAAAAATATGTAAAGGTACTAACACTAAAAAAAAAAGACGTACTGTTTTCAAGAATTCTATCAATATGAAATTAGATGTGTGTGTGGGGGGGGGAGGGGTGTTCAACCCAGGGCATGACCTTCGTTATGACATCAATTATCAGTGTGTCAAGTTTGGTACTTATTGATTGAGAAATGTTAATGTATAAGGAACAGATGGCTGAAAGGTACAAACAGACACAAACTTAGCTTTATGTATTAGATAAAAGATTAAGCAGCAGTTTGTGGGCTTTCTCTCAATTAGATGTTGCTTTATTTCTTAATAACATCCCATCCTCTGCACTTTAAATGATTTCAAACATATTTTTAAACTACAGTATTATAGAGCACGTGTCAAATGAAGAATACTTTAAATTGTGAATTTTAGAATTACTGTGTTATTTTATCATCTCCCCTAGTCTTCTTGTTGTGAATCCAATGTAAGTGCCCTTATGTGTTGGACAATAAAATTCATAACTTACAGAACTTGTATATTGAGCATAAATCCTCTCTTTAATGGGAACAGATTTTGAATTTTTACAGAAGACTAGAACAAACATTGTAACTTGATTTATGGGAAAACTTCTTACAGTTGTGTTTGATTTCTTGACCTTAATAGATTGAACACTGTTTAGTGAGTATGGTAGGCAATTGCAAAATATTATGTTTCATATTTTAATTGAATATCTTTTTTATGTTTATCCTTTTTTAAACAACATAGATAAATTCTGTCTTACTGGCTGCTTAATTATTTGTAATTGTAATCATGACACGTTTTAAATAAAAACATTATTTCTTTTATCATTATTTAATTATCAATTTATTTGATTTATAGAAGATAGTTGTGGTGTTACTACATATTTGAAAAACAAACATTGGCAATTGCTTGGTGGTGGTAGTCAATTGACATTAGCAATTCATCTGCCAATTGGGAAATGTCCATAAAACTTGTTTTTTTGTGTGTGTGTGTGACAAAAAATGTTTTTTACAAATATGCACATTGCTAACTTCAGAAGAGGCCAATAATATGAAATCAAGGATAATTAGAAAATTGGTTAACCCTTTCAAGACAGGTCATGGGTGAAAGGCCATGTCATCTTGTTCGTTGATTCGCATTCAAAATTTTATTGAACTATTATTTTGTCAATATGTTTGGTATCAAACTGTAGATTATAATTCAAATTTTAGTACTATACATAACTCAATTTCTTAATTTAAAAGTAAATACTGAAAAAACACAAACATTGATTTTCGTGTGTTACATGGTATGTTGAGTGCAGCGCAGATTCAATAGCAGATAATTTACTTGTACCATAGTCTGTAACATCAAATTCACATTTGAACATTTATGGCACATTGTTAAATTAGATATAGTTGTCTAAAATACAAAACAGTTAACATAACCTAAAGACAAAAAAAGGACCATTTGGTCCTTCAAGGCTGTCCTGGCACCTTCCACCTGTGGAATAGTAAAAACTTAAACTCTTATACTTTTTTGGATATCATCAATTTTCCTTTTAAGCTCCTGTAAATAGATGATCACTACTGCTGACAGCAACTCATTTTGTAAATTATCACGATGTTAGAAAAATAAGGGTCTTAACTGGAGCCTAGCCTGTTTTTTTAAATCTTGTCCTGTTACTTTCTGAACAAAGCACAAAGAAAAAAAAAAGGGCCTTCATCTTATTAATTCCCTAATTAATCTTGTAAACTTCAATAACATCACTACCTCTCATCCTATGTATTTTGAGAGAAAATATGATAGATCTTAACCTGTCCCTATAAGATAACTTCCATCATCCGACTTGCCCTCCTCTGAACCCTGTTCAACAAATCATTATCCTTTCGTAGATAATGAAACTGAAACTATACATACTATTCCAAGTGAAGCCTAGCTAGTGAGTTGTATAGAGGTAATTGCCTGTTTTGACTCGTAACAAATATGTACCCAAAGATTATATTGGCTTTACTTTTAGTAACAAAGTTATTACTAAGAAAGCTGCAACAGTGGTAGACATTTCAAGTGTATAAAGTATTTTTTGTTGATTTTATATTTTCCCTCTTATAAAATTATACTCAATTGCAAAGTAAAACATTTATTCATTCTCAGTGCTTTGCATATTTCATTGTAAAATAATGAAATAACAATTATTTTGCAGTTTATCACTGATTGGCCATACTGTTTTGAATACCATTTTGGCTCACCAAGTATCACGAGCCAAGTTACTGTTTCATTGAAGACAGACTATTAATGGATCGTAAGGCAGAATTCCATTGTTTTATTTTAATAAAGAGACTAAATATTTTTTATTTGATTTAGAATACTTAACCAAATATGTATGGTCATCTCTTGTTATTATTTACATTTTTAAGTTTTTTCTCAATATTTTTTTTAAACTCCTTTGTACTTAAAGTACTGTGTCGGTAATGGTGAAAAGGACAATTTATTATACTCTGTAATAATATTGGAAAATAAAACTAGACAGTTAGTATTTACTGAATGAAAAGGAGTAAATTGTATAAAATGGATTCCTACTTATGCTAGTGCCACAAAAAAAAAGTTTTTAGTAGGTAAAACACCTAGCTTTTAAAAGTCACTGAAAGCTTGTATTAAGGGACAAGAACTTGGAGTATAATATTCATATAATTTCACACTTAATTGTCATATATTGTTTAAATTCTTTTTGTACATTCAAAAAGATTATTACTATCAATAATAAAGTTAATTAAAAGTTGAATTCTTGCTGTGGTTTTGCAAGGTGCATAGGGCTGGTGCTTTTGAACTTCGGTTTGAAGTGGCACAAATGGATGAGAATAGTAACCCCATAAAAAGATAGTAAATTTTAATATTGATGGATGTAAATGTTGAGGCATTAATGCATATAAAAGTCATTTTAGGGAGGGAGCACTTTGTTTTTACAAGATTAGTGTAAAACAAGTGTATTATATGTATCTGACTTCAGATGAAAAGTTTATTAGCAATAAACTAGATATTTGCAGGCAATGTTTTATAATCAAATAAAAGCATTATCACATTAAAATTGATTTAAAATTCAGCTTTTTTTTTTGTAGTTAAATATTAATCCTTAGCTAAAGATATATTGCTAAAAGATGTGTAAAAAAAACATACCCAAAAATATGTTTGTATTTAGGTTTTAGAGGTTTATACTTATCTCTAGTAAAATATTTAAAGCAAAAAAACTTCAGAATATCATATTGTGCTTGTATAGTACTTTTGTTGTATGTATTCTTATTACTGTAGATCAGTATTAACATAGTAAATTATTATGAACTTGAATGGCATGCTAAAGCTTGATAATTACTTTAGCTTATGTTCCTGACTTTAGGGCTATAACAGAGGGTAGATTTTTACCTTCAAAGCTTCAGATCACATTATCATTTGAAAATTCAAACCTTCAATAGTACTAATTTGCATATTATACTAATGATGTCACCATAACTACTAGTTTATATTTATTTGAAACCTTTTTATTTTACAAGTAATCCATATATAAAAATTAAATAAAACACTTACATGTAGCTGAAAAATGTTATATAGAAATAATCATGTTTTTTTATTTTAAATAAGCATAAATAATGTACATCATTTATATAAATGCATTTCATGCTACATGTGATAATCGTACAGCTACATACAGTAAGTTTGCATTGCAAGAGCACTATTGCAGCCAATTTAAAGAATTATAGTTGTCTTAAGCAAATTAAATATTTAACAGTCACAATTCCTAAAAGGTTAGCAGTCATTCTATTTTAACATAAAATTGTTGATTAATCAAACATATGTAAAACAGCAAAACAATAGAGCAACACTAACAGTTTGATTAGAAAATAAACATGGACTTTCAACTGTAGTATGTTACAAGATAAGATTTATAATCAGTCCCCCCCTTTTTTTTTAAACACTTTTGATTAATTAAACATATGTCTTGGATGGTAGTTGGGAGACTGTAGAGTTACTCCTATGTTCTTTTTATTTCATCATGCAAATTATGAGTATCAGCGTATATATATATTTTTCATATTTATTGTACAGTAACACTTCTTACATCTTTTACATTAGGCTTTCAGTACATATTATTGAAGCAATGCAACTACTAAATGTACTTCTCTGTGCTTCACCATAATGATCTACTTCAATGAATGGAAAGAGCTGCTGTGTATTATGATTGGTGGTGTGTGTGTGTGTGTGTTTTTTAAATAATGGGTACTAAACAAATTGAAAGATCAAATTTTCCATGCAAATGACATTTAATATGTGATTACTAATCAAACATTGTTCAGTTTAGTTGACCAGTGCCGTGACTAACAAATATAATAAACTAATTGAAATTGGTGGCTCAGGTTATTTTCAGTTATTCCAAGTATCCAAGTCTGATGTGAGTAATTGATTAACAAACTCGAGAATTAATCAATTATCCAATTCCACTAACTGCCCAGCTCTGATGATTAGTGCAACTAGAAATGATGAATACATCATATTGTTAATCTTTCTGTATAAATTTGTGTTAGTTGTAAAGTCAGTAATAAGTATTTTCATTCAAGTAGCTTACTCATATAAATTTATGAGAAATTTCTTAATTTATTTTTTTCCTTCATTTTCCAGATATGGCATCGCCATCCCCATCTCAGCCATTTGTCAGTTACAGCCAACCTGGTGGAGGAACTCTAGGTGTGTTCAGATTAAAACTTCTTATAAAATGTACACATGTTAGAGCATTGTTTTTCAACCACTCGTCCATCAAAACCACCTTGCCAGTCTGTGGGATTTCATGAAAATAAATAAACAAAAACTGACAGAATATTCATATGTAAATTATAATGATTTTTTTCACTGTACTTGCATTTTAATAGTCTGCACCAGTTTAGGGAGGCAGCAAGCCAGTCCCTGGTTTTAAAAAAAGGTTGAGAAATGCTGTGTTAGAGTATATTAAGGACCAACCCAGTTTTTAATGTACTCTAACACAGCATCAACATCCAAGAATAACTATTTAGATCTTAGTTTTGTAACTCAAACTTGACTAATTTTCAACTTGTGTTTTTGTTTTACACAAAAAAATATCAGTAAAAAAAAATACTTTAGTATTACTGTTTGCACTATACTGTGTTTTATTGTTTTCATAGTGTTTACATTACTAAGGGGTTTATCTTTTTTATCTACTCAAAACTAATACTGTAAAAGCATTTTTAGCATAATGAAATATTTATGTGAGTTTGATGTGTAGAGTAATATGACTTGGACTTGACTTTCATCCAGATAACATTCTGTTGTAGAGTTAGTAACCATGTACACGATAGCCAGATACTTCATATCTTGGCATTGAAGTCACTTTTCACTCTCCTTGGAAACCTACTGCATCATTACCTTAAGTGTCAGGAGTAGATTGTTTGGAGGTAGATGTTCATAGCAACCCAAATGTTGTTCATTAGGAGAGTGGTATCATTATTGATTTAAAAAGTGGCTAGACTTCAGCCTAACAACCCAAATGTTGTTCATTAGGAGAGTGGTATCATTGTTGATTTAAAAAGTGGCTAGACTTCAGCCTAACAACCCAAATGTTGTTCATTAGGAGAGTGATATCATTATTGATTTAAAAAGTGGCTAGACTTCAGCTTAACTCCATGCAGAACAGTGACCTTTAAGCTAGGAGTTTGGGGTATACATAATGGTTTTGGTTTAATTAACTTTTCTGAAAAGGAAAAGAATAAACATAAGCTACATTATTTGGCTGTACCAATACTGAATTTGTCTAATAAATCAAACATTAACTATTTTTATTAACTGAATAATTTTTGGATGCAATTATTGAAGTTTCATTCTTGTTTTATCCATAATACATCCACTACTTGGCTAAGTTAGATGTGACAAAGATTCTCATATAATTATATTCTGCTAGCCATTAATCATTTGAAATAAAAAATCATGAAAGTACTTAAAGAATTGATATGAAGTTCCTTACAAAAACAAATAATTTTGTAGTTATTTATATATTTGTTTATTTTGAAACCTGTCTGAAATGTTGTGAACAAAAACAACAGCAAAAAAATGTTTCTGTACTAATCTGAAAATTACTTTTGTTTTTATAGTATTTGCTTGCTCTAAAATTGCAACTTTAGAATTAGAAATGATTAAGTCTTTAAAAATTATCTTCATTTCTGACAAATTCACATAAGTGAGAAAATATGATTAATATTTTTTGCACATAACATCATCATATTGCAAAATTAACAAATAACTAATATTTTAATTTCTATGACGAGGAACCCACTTTGAGACTAATAATGTACCTCATGATGACAAAACCTTGTTGAAACGTTGTACATTTGCTGTTATGTTAAACTTATATTAAAGTTTTTCTTCATTACCCATTCAAGCCATCTCCAACCATTATAACTAATATTTTATTTACAAACATTGTATAAATTTGATATTTTTCTTTAAAAGCATATTTTGTATCTGAAATGATGCATATAAATGAAATAGTGCAAGTTTTTTGTTCAGAGATAATTCAAAAGAAGCCATAAATAAATAAGGCCATAGAAATTTAAGGGAAATGCATGAATAAATTTAATTATCCTAAACTGTTCAGGCAATTCCAGCTATTGGAATTAATTTGTGCATGTTTCTATATTTAAAAATTTTTAAAATGCATAAAAAGTTAAGCAGCAGGTTTGTAGAATTTTGGATTTTATTTAGATATGAAACTTGTTTATTGTGTAACTAAACATATTGTTTGATTTTAAAGCTTGAAATACTTTAATTGGAATTTAAATCATACACGTTTAATCCTTTTAAACTGAGAATAGACGTTATTGGTAATCATTAAGTTGTTTTCTAGTAAATCTTAATAATTGCACAGTGAATGAAGTACATGTATGGCCACATGTTATTATAGCTCATTTTGCCATAATATGTAATTTTTATTTTAATAATGTAAAGCCTTAATTATTTTTGTAGTAAATCTTAATAATTGCACAGTGATGAAGTACATGTATGGCCACATGTAATATAGCTGATTTTGCCGTAATATGTAATTTTATTTTAATAATGTAAAGCCTAAATTATTTTTGTAGTAAATCTTAATAATTGCACAGCGATGAAGTACATGTATGGCCACATGTAATATAGCTGATTTTGCCATAATATGTAATTTTATTTTAATAATGTAAAGCCTAAATTATTTTTGTTTGAAAAGATAAAGGCTCAAGCTTTACAAAAAAAAAGTTGGTTATATAGATGTTACGTTCACTGTGTGTTGTAGCCTGTTTGGAGACCTGATGAAGATCTTTGCTTGAAGATTAAAACTATCTCTAAATGTATTTCTATAGGTGAGTGAAATATGTTAAAAACTCGTAGATGAATTTTGCAAATATTATTTGTCTTAAAGTACATATTACCATTTATAGGGATGGGTGCCTTAGGCCTACAACAACCTTCACGCAGCTTAACTGGTCAACAATTTTCTGGAAGACTTGGAAACAGTGGTAGCCATCTTCCAGGTCATGTAACTCCCACAAGCTCAGGTATTCTGACTTTTCCAACAAGTCTCCAGAACAATCTTCCTTCTCAACTACCTTCACCAAATAGGTAAACAAGATCTCATGTTACATTACTGTGAGAAGTAAATGTACTTGGTGTATTTGTGTAGTTTTTACATACAGAGATTATATAATGTGAATAAAATAATTACCTAAACATACTTTATCTGTAGGTTTAAAACAGACTCTAAGAACCCACAAAGTCTCGGGAAGATTGAATAAATATTACCATCCTATAGTTAGTCATATAAAATTGCTTTTGTTATCAGTACAACATAATCTGAAGATGTAAAAGTACTTTCTCTTGCAACCCATTGTTTAATTATTAGAGAACTTCGTATTGCATAGAAATAGTATACCTTTGTTAAGCGTTTTTTTATGATTATATGTGATATTTAATGTTACAAATGCCCGTAGGAGACTGGTTTATTGCAAGTCAGTTAAGTTTAAAAACCCTTTCCAATAATTCAGTGTCCTTCCTAAAGAAAAGAGCCCAAGACTGAATGCAGTACTCTAAATGTGGTCTAATCAATGACCTATACAATGAAATTATAACCTTTTTAGATTCCTATTCAATATTCCTGTATATACAACCTGAAATCCTATTTGCCCAATGGCTAGCAACACTACATTGCTTGGATGGCTTAAGAGACTCATCAACCAGAACACAAAGATCTTTTACTTTCATAACACATTCCCTTCAAAGTTATACTCATAATTCAAATGGTGAGGCTTGCAGGCTACATCAACCAACACACCAAGATCTTTCCATCCACAGGGATTCTTATTTAAATTATATGTGAATATTATGATAACCCAATGCATAACTTTACATTTATATAAATATTTTAGCTGTAGTGTGTACAAGGCAATATGCAAGTAAGTAAAGAACAGCAACATATATCTAGCTGTTATCAATATACCTTGTAATTTTGTAGTATGTGTCTGTATTAAATTTTAAAGGACAGTAACATGAGTTGCTGATAATACACATCTTTAATAACTACATAATGAATAAAGAAATGTACATGTTTGAAAATACTTCTCTTGTGAATTTGTAGTATGTACATAAAATAAAGTACTTAGTAAACAAAGGATAGTAATATGAATCTCTCATTTCTTTTTTTTTTTTTACTGTAGCTTTCAAGTAAAGGACAAATATGCATTTGTTAGCACTACACATTTAGCTTAAAGTATATTAAGGACAGTATAACATATATATTAAGATTAGACTTTTTTTTAATTATACAAGTCAAAGGTACAAACATTGATGTTAAGGGGAAACACTTTAATATCACAATATAACTAAAGAAAAAAGCATGAATGCTTCATTTTAATACACTATTTATAATGAGTAGTAATATACGTGTAGAGGACAGAAATATATGTTTTTTTGTGTTTCTACAGTACACTTATTTCCTAACTGTAGTACGTAAATGGATAAAATGGATTTATGCATATTATTTAACAAAACTGTTTCATGTAGCATACAGGTAAATGTAATACAATGTTTCCTTATCTCTGTAGTATGCAGTTAAGAAACAAATATACATCAGTTGAATATTACATCATTTTTTAACTGTAGCTCTTAAGTGAAGAACATTAATGTATATGTACATTAACCCTTTTGTATTAAACTATATAGTATGGAAACTTAAGTAACATGTACATGTATTGATAGCACATTTTTATGTTTATATGCATACGAAGAAGAGTAAACAGTCCAATAGAATAACTTGGGATTGGTTTTTCTACTGTTTAATATAAGTGCTGACACTTGACACTTAAGCAACTTTTACAAATTCAGATACCAACAAAGCTCACATTAAAGTCGGTAGTGATTTTAATATACTCTTTGACTGATGTGTGTGTGTTATAATACTTCAGGAGTGTTTTTCTATATCTGGTAACTGAATTTATATTCTAAGCTCTTGAATACCAAAATGTGCATCTTCTAAAAATTAGTTTTACCTTGATTATGAGCACAGGTATAAGGTTGCACTATGATATTACTTTCATCACAGTATAATGTTATTTCTGGTACTAGTAGGAGTATGCTTCCATTGAGTACCAGGGGACTCCAGAGTCAGAGACCATTGAATTCTCAAGAAATTAAAAGAATGGTAGAGATGACGGGGACACTAGGAGGGTAAGCAATTTATCCATAAGATGCAGAATCGTACAGCATTCAGTTGGTCTGTACTTTTTAAGTATTTTTAAATGTTCCTTTGATGAGACCATTAAAGTAATTTACAACAAAAAATTTATTTATTAATAATCCCACTTTAATAAAAAAAAATATATAAACTGCAAAATTTCATCAGGTCCTCAAAACATTGTTTTGCAAGCCTTTTTTATAATTTTTTAATAAAGTTAAATTTCTTGTACAAGGTGTCTATTTCTTTAAAAAAATACTACTCCATTATGTAGCTTGCATTATTGACTCAGGTACACCGATGTGACATAGTATCAGAAAAAACTTCTGATTTTGTTGATCTTTGTATTGGAAATGTTGTCTGAAATAACTCAAGGCTCTCTTCTTGAAAGCAAAAATTGCTGTTAGCTCGAGTGATTTTGGATAGCTTAGAATAATTTGAATAATAAGTTTTATGAACAAAATACAACATCATACATGACAATTTGAACTGGAATAGTACTTATTAATTTACTGAAATGTTAAAATTGATTATATATTTTTTTCATTCCTTAGATTCTAGCATATTTAAACTAGATTTGTTATACTACAGAACTGACTCTTGTTACAGCTTGGAATATTGGAATAACTTCAAAATAGTGAACATCAACTGAATAGAAAAATACAATTATAGAGACTCGTAATGCACAGAATAATCAATTACAAAGTATCACCAGCTGCTTATTTTAGTTAGATTTTTTATTTTTGTTTATGTTTGAAAAGATAGTTTTTTAAACTTTTAAATTTAATTTATATATTTAACTAAAGAAGAACTTTGTGCAATTGCCAACATGACATGGAACATATTAAAAGAAACAAAATATCAGTATCTTTAGTTAATTTCAGCAACACATCTCATTGTAAGTGGTGTTCCTTGTCTCACGATCTATTCTGAGTAAACGTAAATTTGCATTGTGTGAAATATTAGTCAGTAAAAATTACAGTTTTCCAATATGATAATTTCAGAAATTCAAGTTCGATGGGTTTAATATTTGGTGTTTCTCGTAACTCAAGGAGTTTTCCATCCACAAGTTTAATGAATAGCACACTGACTTCAGCATTTTCTTCTAATCCTGGTAGGTATTAAAAGATGTGATTTGAAGAAATAAAGAAAAATAACTATACAGCATTAACTTTCTCTACTAGAAGTGATACTTGTGAAACTTTCTCAATTCAGGCTACTTTGTGTTTTTGTAAGTGTTTAAAAATGGTTTACACATGAAATTTTCATTTACTTAGAAACTTTTCATCACTTTCAAATTCTGAATCAGTGTATTAAAATTTCTTCCAGGAGGACATTAAACATTGAATGGCCAGGGAATATCTCTTGCGCTCTTGCTGATGATTTAAAATGTGTTTTAATGAAGCCTTATTTTTCCAACTCTTTCTCCTACTCAGTAAATCAGCTTAACTGATAAGGGCATGTCACTGTAAGGCATACAAAGCTTGTTTACTAAACTTATGAAAAATTCTAGAAATATTTTATAAAACATACCATCACTAGTAACAAAAGGATGAAAATTTGTGCTAATGTGATTTGTGTCTCATCATATAGTTATTGAAGTACCTCAGTTTTATTTGGCTTGTAATCTTAATTAAGATTATAATTTTTCTTAAAATATTACTT